TGAGTGCTCCTAAATCCTTGCCCATGTCCTCATCATGATCTGAGTCATGTTTTGGAATTAAAGACAGTGCAAGTTAAGGAGAATTTAAATTTTGAGAAACAACCAGTTTCAGTAGTGGATAAGAAAGTTAAGCAATTGTGGGGTAAATCTATCAACTTGGTGAAGGTTATTTGGGATACAGTATGAAGCTTCTTGGGAGTTGGAAGATAGGATGAAGGATCAATACCCATATCTCTTTTTGAATAAGTGAATTTTTGGGGTAAAAAATTTTTGTTGTTGGGGAGAGTTGTAACGCCATGGAAATATCGAGCTATTTGGTATATATACTTTATGTATATATATATGTATGTATGTATATATATGTATGTATGTATATATATGTATGTATGTATGTATATGTTGTTTATATGGATTTGGATTGGATCATGGAGGTGTGGATTTGAAATGTACTTACCTTTATGCATATTGTATATTTAGGTGGTTTCGATTCATGAGTGATTTCATAGAATGAGTAGAGATATTGTTGTTTTGTGATGTTTATATAGGAATGTGTATGCATGAGTGTGGTGAATGATGCATTGTACACCATTAAGATCGGCAGAGCGATTGATCACCTTCCTTCTCATCTTAGTTAAGTGACGTATTGTGGCATGCAACTCATTATTCCAAGAGTATGTATATGAATGTGATGTTTGTTTATATGTTAATACATGTTGCATTTCATATGGTGGTTAGTTGTGAGTATTGCATGGAAAGGAGTAGGAATGGTAGGAAATTGGAGGATAGGAACATAAGATAAATCTGGTCTTTCTGAGTGAAATTGAGGTTGTTTTAGAGCTTTAGCCATGATACATTTGTTTCTTAGTATTTAATGTTTTAAATGTTTGAAGGATGTTCATTAGTAGAGTTTTTTTACCTACAAATATTTATTGAAAAAGTTGTTCACTTTTGGAGAATGGAATGTGCTTGTTTCAATATATTTAATACTATAAATGATACTTATTAAAGAATGTTAATGTTAAGTGACGTATTGTGGCATGCAACTCATTATTCCAAGAGTATGTATATGAATGTGATGTTTGTTTATATGTTAATACATGTTGCATTTCATATGGTGGTTAGTTGTGAGTATTGCATGGAAAGGAGTAGGAATGGTAGGAAATTGGAGGATAGGAACATAAGATAAATCTGGTCTTTCTAAGTGAAATTGAGGTTGTTTTAGAGCTTTAGCCATGATACAATTGTTTCTTAGTATTTAATGTTTTAAATGTTTGAAGGATGTTCATTAGTAGAGTTTTTTTTCCTACAAATATTTATTGAAAAAGTTGTTCACTTTTGGAGAATGGAATGTGCTTATTTCAAGATATTTAATACTATAAATGATACTTATTAAAGAATGTTAATTAATACAATTTACTTTTGCTGCATGTATTTATTGAAGAAGTTTTCCGCTTTATATATATATATATATATATATACAGTAACACACCTATCAACTTTTGTTGTTAAGAAGCGTTTTGAACAGACAGATGGTAAACTCAATACCCTCTTCAGAGAATCTATCACCGCAACACCAGGGGCAAGATCTAGTGGCTCCCGCTCATAAACAACCCGATTAAATTTAAATGATTTCTTAGGCATGTCACCAAGGACTTTCTCCAGTTCAAGATCCACAGCAGGGGCAGGTGGGGGGAGTCCATTAGAAATACACTTCTGAGTTGCTGAACTATCAACTAAAACAACACGTCCATCACCACTAATAGTTCCAATAACAGCCATTGAAACTTTCTCCCTACTACAGATCGATTTAAGGATATCATGACTCTCAGGCTTCACCAAGATTGCATCCTGCTCCTGATACTCTGCACCCCAAATTTCTAGAACAGACATTGTATGATCACCAACCACAATTGCTCGGACATCTATCTCAGCACCTTTTGGATATATAATTTCCTTTACAACATTGCAGTTCCCACCAGCACCCTGGTCATGAATGCTAATAATAGGATTTTTCTCCCCCATCTCAATACAGGCACGAACAAGACGGTATAGTTTTTGAGCCATTTCAGCATCCCCACGTTGCACAGCATTGAAATCAAGCTCCGCATCATTCTGCCCACTGACCATGCTTGAGGCTGCCCCACCTCCCATACCAATACGATAAGCCGGACCTCCAATCTTAACAACCAGCATACCAATGTCAGGCTCTCCCTTTGATATATGAAGGTGGTCAATCTGTCCAATGCCTGCACTAAACATGATTGGCTTCAACCATTCTCGCCTATCCCCACTAGGAAGTCTCATTCCAAATGTTCTGCAGAAACCCTGGATCAATGGCTCTCCGAATTTGTTCCCATAGTCAGATGCACCATTACTAGAATCTATAAGAATCTGTAAAGGTGATGCCAAATTTGATGGATAAGTAAAGGAGGGATCTTCCCATGGAGCATAAAAGCCTGCAGTGTTGAGATTCCCAACACAATAACCAGCTGTAGCTGCCTGGACAAATGACCCCCTTCCTGTAGCATGTGTATCTCTAATTCGACCTCCTGCACCAGTCTCTGCACCAGGATAAGGTGCCACTGCACATGGAAAATTATGTGTTTCAGCAGTAAACAAGATATCTAGCTCATGTGCTGCAACATCTAACGGGCATACTGAACCAGGCTGAACTGGTCGGAGCTGCTTTACTGGGAAACCTCTTATTGCACTCGAGTTATCCTTAAAGCCAATAACTGAGTTATTTGGATTTGCCTGTAGAGTACTTTTCACAATTTGCATAAGAGTTCTACTCATAAGCTGTCCATCAATGAAAATCTTTCCAGAAAAAAACCAGTGTCTGCTGTGCTCACTGTTGGACTGCGCAATATCAAACAACTCCACATTTGTTGGATTGCGCTTAATGTCTTCCCTGAAGAGTTTGGTGTAGAATTCCAAATCCTGGTCATCAAAGGCAAAACCCATCTCCAGATTAATCTCTTCTAATGCCTTTCGTCCCCTCTCCATGACAGGTATATAACGAATTTCTTCTGGAACTACACTGGTCTCAAAGGATGTTAGTTTCTGAGCGTAAACACATTCAGTCATCCTATCATGCACCATTGATGCAAACTCATTGATTTGATGATCTTGCAGTTCACTTGTGGTGAACAACAAGTACCTCCTTGACCGTTCCAAACGGTTCACTTCCGTCAAACCACAGGCTTGGCAAATTGCCACAGCATTAGTAGACCATGCTGTGGTAAATGACAACCTGGGGCCAACCTCGACGATAACTGGAACCAAACCCTGCTTCCTCTTCTTCTGGAGAAAGCTCTCGGTTCCCAGATTCTCAGGCTCAAACGTTTCTTGAAGAAGCCATTTAAGAACTGAAAACTTTTTACTTGAAAGTTGTGAACCAAGGCCAATATTATAGCATTGCTCCGTCTGTATTTCCACAATCTGATTAGAGATTTTCACTTGAGCCTCCTTTAGAAGCTCAGCAGCTGCACTATCTTGCATAAACGGGACACGATACAAATGAACAACTTCTGAGGCAGGCTTCTCAACCAAACCCGGTTGCTCTTCTACTGAACTGCTCACACCACCAGAAACCACAGCTTTAGGATTTTCTTGAGCCTGGCACCTTAAAGGCAAAGCTCTTGAAGATGATCCCAGAACCCAATTCCGATTCCAAAGCTTACCCCATAACATATGACTTCGTCTCTGAGACCTCTTTTTCAGAAACAAAGTTTGCCTGGAGGTACCCTGAATACACGAAAGTATGAAGTGTTTATTTTACACTAGTAATAATAAAAGAGATATTTCCTCTTGTATACAAATTCCTTTGATGGAAACCTTCTAGAGAAAACTGTTTGGCTTTGAATTCTCCTTCAAGTTCCTCCCTAGACTTTTAGTTTCTTGACACTTCTCAAGCTTCTTTGAGACTTCTAATGGAGTTAGAAGCCCCTGGGTTCACCTTGGAAGGTGAAAAACATTCTTCAAGAGGCACCACTCTTTGGAAGAAGATGAGCTACTTGAATCCTCACACTCTTTAGGAAGAGGATAAGAGAATTGGATCTAAATCAAAAGTTTGAAGACTTTTGAGAGAGAGAAATCTGAAGTAATAACTAAGAAATTAAGCTAGTCTAACCGCGGTTCAAATAGAACCATAGTTAGCCTTCTTACACTTAAACTAACTATCCCTAGTTACCTTCCTAGAAGCTTGTGGGGCAAGCTAAGCTAACCTTAGTTTAAAGATGACTTAGGTTAGCTTAACTTAACTCCAATTAACTATCATAATGATTACTTCTAGCAGTTAGTTGAGATGTCACTTTCAAGGCCATGTGAAAGCTTCTTCAACAAGTTTGGACGTTGGATGGCTTCTTCACCAAGGTTGGACGTCCAAACCACTTGCCTAGGCAAGTGGACGTCCAACCTTGGTGTGTTTTAGAAATCCATTTGAGCCATCCAAGCCCAAACAATCCCATGGTCTTTCTAGTTACACCTTCCCTAAACTACTAATTACATCAAAATACAAGGAACAAAAATTCTACATTACTTGACTGTCAAAAAAATATCCTATACAATATGTACAATGTATTTACAATGAAGACTAAGAAACTACTAAGAGGAATCATACTCAATGCTTAAGTAAAACATACGTCTAAAATGCACCTCCTCTGTAGAAGTCTCTTCTAGCCTCTAAACCATAGACCTTATTAAAGGCCCAATGGTCTTCATGTATGAGCTCTCTTATGGATCAACCTTCACTCTTTTTGGTCTTGCCACTTCCAAAGGAATTCTTGGGGATTAGGTTTCCATCATCCTTAGTCTATTTAACTCCTGTACTATAACTATCTATAACCCACTCTCCAAACTCCTCTCTTCTCATGTAACCTCCTATTTCATTATTTATATCTTTTTATTATTTTATTTTTATTTCTTAACAACATAGAGAGGCTCAAAGTTTCTTTTTTATTTTATGTTAGTATATATTAATAAGGTTTGACTCTTCTAAAGTGAGAATGCACTTTAGAAGATAAAATGCATTCATAATTGTTAATTATAAAATCAATGATTAAGATTTGTAATAAAATCAAATTTCTATAAAATAAAATCTAAAATTAATTATAATCTTAAAAATTGATTTTTTAATCAACGATTATATTGCACTTTATGTTCCAAAATTGAAATTTCCTCACTTTAGAGAAGCAAGATCCATCTTTATAAATGCAATATGTCTTTTTAGTGTATACATTTTGTTGATTGTCTTACTCTTTAACTTTAAAAATACTATATCTTCCATACTTTATTTTATTATCTTTTTTTCTCTACTTCTCTATAAATTTATGATGAGGTACTTATTGAAGAAAACCTCATGAATGCTTCCCTAAACCTCTTCTCGGATCCTTGGAAGGATGGCAAGGATTTGAAACAATGAGAGGAGGCAAGTGTGACCAAGATTCACCCAATTATCTCGGCAAGAAGGTGAGGAACCCTAACTCTACAAGGAGAAGATCTCAAGTAGGGTAGAAGAAAGGGTTCAAAGGAGACTTCGAAAGAGAGAATTATCAAAGAGTAAATTCTCATTCAATGATCCAAAGTGCTACAACTCTCGGCCAAGATGAATTTATAGGGAAACTAGGGTAAGGTGCACGTTTGGTTTAACCTAAGGTTAAGTTAAACCATGGTATGGTTTAACCTAAGGTTAAGTTAAACCATGGTATGGTTTAACTAACCTTAGGCGCCAAAATTTGAATTCAAATATTCAAATTTTGGTGCCAACCGATCACCTTCCCATGTGCACTCTCATCTGGATGTAATTTGGTATCCATTTGAGTAGCATTTCGGACACACCATGTGCATGTGTGCACATGGCCGAAATGCATACTAAATGCCATACTAATTACATGCAAATGAACATGCACATGCTAACCTAAATTAATCCTAAATTCATATTGCCATGAAATGTAAATCCTAATCTAGGTGGCCGAATTACAAGGCCCAAAATGCAATACAAGCCCAAAGGCCCAAACCTATACTACAAAGCATAATAACAAAATGGATATACAAGATAGGCCCATGTAAAGCTCATCTTGGACCTTCCAAGCCCATCGGGCCTATTGGGTTTTTGACTGGCCCAAACCTTCATGCCTAGCCCATTCCTCTCGGATCTTTTAGGATGTCCCCTCTTGCCTTCTTGAGCATGATTCCATCATCCCCTCCCTCTTGAAAAGGATTTGTCCTCAAATCTCGAGGATGCATGGAACAAGAATGATCACCTACATGCACAACATGCCATGTATAGAAGGTTAAATGGTAAGAAAATGAATTATAGATCCTAAGAGGAGTCTGTCTATCTAGCCTATTAAAATTAAACTCCCTAACAGTAGAAATAGGATCCTCTTCTAAGCATAACCTAGAATGAAAACCTAAAAATGTAATGACACTATGACTCAGACAATGAAAAGAATGCTTCTTAAAAATGACAACATCTTGCCTATAATACCCTAAATGGTAACCTAAGATTTCTCTAAAATATAAAGAAAAAACTAAAAAACGCCCTAAACAATTTTGGATTTGATTGCTTATTAGATATTCATAATCATATAAACTACATTTGTCTTGTAGAGGAGGAATCAAGTTAAGTTCAAAAGAGTAAGAACTTCCCCTAAAAGCAAACATAGAATATAGATCATTAAAAATTGTGTTCACCAAACAATGTAATCCAAAGATTGGATGCTTTATTAAGACCATAGACATACTTTCTTCTTTGTGCACCTTCAAAGAAGTAGCATAAGGAATAAGACTAGAATTAGTCCTTTCCTTCTTCACAATATCTTGAAGTTGAAGATGCTTGGTTTGAAAATTGTGTTGTTCTTTATTCTTAACTTCAAGGGTAGTGGTAGCATTAGGATAAGAGTCAAGACTTTTATGAATAAGGAGAGTACTTTTCAATGCTTGTTTGATGGTTAAATAATTCTCCTTGGTCACAAATTCTTTAGAGGAGACCCCTTTGTCGTCACTCTTCCCTAATTTATTTTCCTCTCCATTTTCTTGGTCACGTTTGGTCTTCATTTGTATTTGATCCTCTCTTACTTGTGAAGGTGTTAAAGGATGAAGCACAAATTTCTTACCCTTATGAGTGAAAGTTATTTTGTTAGTTAAGCCATCATAGTGTGTTTGCTTATCAAATTGTCATGGCCTTCCTAACAAAATATGACAAGCTTCCATGGGAACTACATCACATTTGACTTTATCTTGATAGTTTCCAATGAAAAACTCTACTTCCACTTGTTGGTTAACCACCATATCCCCATCATCATTGAGCCAATGAAGTTTGTAAGGTTTTGGATGGGGTGTGGTAGTTAATCCCAATTTTGCAACCATCCTAGTGCTACAACAATTGCACCAAGATCCATTATCCACAATTAGAGAACAAGCTTTATTGGAAATGTTACACCTTGTGTGAAAAATGTTCTCTCTTTGGGATTGTGTATCACTAGGTTGATTATTGAGGACCCTTCTCATCATAAGAAGTTCCCCATTGTAAGGATAAGTGACCTCACATGACTCTCCCTCACTTGCTTCCTCTTCATCTTCACTTGAAGATGGAGAAGTAGTAGCTTCATCTTGGCTACTATAAATGTCTTGGCCCCTCGATATTATAACCTTCTTGTTAGGGCATTGAGAAGCAATGTGGCCTCTCCCAAGACATTTAAAGAACTTTGTCACTAGTTTTGGTGCTAGTGTGTTAGGTGTTTTTCTTTTCTTTTTCTTCCTTTGCTTTACCCTTGTCTAGATTTTTGGAGGAGTCAAAAGTATTTTTCTTTTCAAAAGATTTACCCTCCCTTTTGTAGTCATTCTTGGAATAAGCAGATGAGTATGAGCTTGTTTTGAAATTTTTCCTCAAATTTTGTTGTTCAACCTTGATGCAAAGTTGAACCAAGTCATTCAAATCTCTATAAGGTAAAAGCTCAACCTTATCTCTTATTTCAAAAGTTAGACCACTCAAAAATCTAGCAATGGTAATATCCTCTTCTTCTCTAATGCCAGCCCTCATCAAATATAACTCCATGGTTTGTCTATATTCCTCAACAGTTATGTTCATTTGATGGAGTCTTTGGAGCTTATTGATAAGCTCCCTAGTGTAGTATGAGGGAATGTGTCTCCTTCTCAAAGCACTCCTTAACTCATTCCAATATTGAATTGGAGGGTCATTATGGAGGCGCCTATCCCTAACAAGGGATGTCCACCAATACATAGCGTGGCCTTGGAAACTCAAGGTGGCAAGAGACACTTTTCTTTCTTCACTCACTTGATGGCAAGTGAAGATTTGTTCAACCTTCATTTCCCAATCAAGGTACCCCTCCACATCATCCTTTCCATGAAAGTAAGGGAGATCTACTCTAGATTCCCTAACTTTGGGGGTCCTATGGTTTCTTCTAGGAGGCTGTTGAAAATGATCTCCTAAGGCTAGGCTATCATCTTGCATGGACTCTCCTAGGGTTGAACTATGCATTTGAGAACTATGCCTACTTTGGTGTTTATTGTGTAATTTTTCTTCTTTTTCCTTTAATAGACGAAATTCCTCTTCCAAAAGTGTAATTTGGGCCTCTCTTTCAAATTTCTCTTTAAATCTTTGTTTGGCCTCTTGCTCTTTCCAAATCTTTAGTGATCTTAATTCACGTGATACTTTGGAAATGTCACTGTAATCACTTGAATTACTATCACTATGAGGAGTAGAAAATTCTTCCATTATAGGT